AAATAACTCATTTCTTCAAACTAATCAATTTAATTCAAGAGTGATAAGTTTGATTTATAATTGATATCTTTTTGTGCGCCGTACATATTTCATAAACAAAATTCTATTAAAGAATATGTTCAAAATATACATTAACAAATTGTCATATCTCAAATATAATGTATAAAAATTTAATTTTGCAATTATTCGCAAAATCTTTAATATTATCTATAAATTTTTAATATAAATCAACAGTTGAGATAGAATTTTTTAGAGGTGAGGATAATTTATAAAATATTCTCGGGTCGTTTTATCTAAAACGGGATAAAAAAGATTTATGATAAATACATATCATTTTTTAATACTCTATAACATTGCGAAACGTCACAAAAAATAGACGAAAAAATTTCTTCGAGGTTGATCTCAGTTGATTGTAGTTTTGAAGATTACCATTCTGAAACCGATGGTCAGAAGTTGTAACTGGTGAAATATACTCCACGACTGACTTACCCAAGTTAAATCGTCTTTTGTTTAATTTCTTTGGAATTCAAGGAATACACGAGAAAAGAAAAAAACAGGAAAAAGAGGTAGAAACAGATAGAACACGAAAAAGATAGTGCAACAGACCGGTATACTTTGTGATATATTGCTTTAGAGATAAAGATATACGACTTTTTAAGAGATATATGACTTTAGACTTTAGAAAGTGCATTCTCTTATTTCTAACTCTTCTATATGCGTGTGTAAACATAGAAAAAAAATTAATTTTTCAAAAACTTGTCGCATAATACTTAGGTGATCTCTAGTCCTTTTCATTCGTGTCGATTAATTATTCTCGCGAGAGACCGTGATTAAAATTTTAATCACGATTTTATAGACAATTTTATATAAATTCTTTATAAATAACGTAAATTAGATAAATGCTATATATATCGAGGGAATAATGACTTGAAGATCGTTGTTTTATACTTAAACATATCTCACGAAAAGAGGCATTTATAGGCAACTTGACATAAGTCTTGTAAATGTCGCGAAACATCGAGATTGATGTTTTTGATACAAATACACAAAGAATCATCAAGTCGTCTCATGCTAGAATTGATGATCAGTTAATGATCACTCATTGATTGATCGGTCGAACATTTCGTGAGTGTCTTAACCGAATTCCGTGCAGGCTCGGTCTCCTGCTAAGAATAATCTTTGATTAAGAATAGAAGACGCCGTCCCGACGTTGTTAGAATTTCATATGCCTACAACTATATATATATATAAACGCACCTGTTTACGACGTCGTGAAGATACGCTTGTTGCATTACAAAATCATACAATTGTGTGTTATATAATAACAAACATACTAAATTTAACGATTTTAGAATTCAACTGCGTATATCTTTAATATATATATATATATATATATATATATATATATATCGGATATCGCACCTTTATAAGATAGGATTCGCGCATGGACCAATATTTATACAGCTTTCGACACATTTAAGAACGGGACATCTGAGATCACAAAGTTTGTAAACATAGATAAAATATTAATCAGATACATATAAGTAAAGTTTCATTCTGTACATTCCCGTATATAATTAATATTTATGTGATCTAGTTTTCGTAAGTTGTATAGATATATGTATATGTAAATTTTTATGTAATAGACAACATATTGTTGATATTTAATACGTAATTAAAATTTCAATCACGATTTTATAGAGAGTTTACATAAATTCTTTATAAATATAGCAGCGTGCGTAAACTAGATAAATGTTATATATAACTAGATAAATGTTATATATACCTATATATATATCGAGGAAATAGTGACCAGTTGACTTAAACGCGAAGACATCGTTCTATACTTATATATACATATCTCGCAAAAAGAGGCATTCAGGTAACTTATCGACTTCGTGCGCGATCGTTAATATAATACATAGAGTCTTTACATATTTCATAATTTCAACGGACTTTGAACGACTTTTTTTTCTTTATATTCCGTTTACGTCAATCCTATTTTATATTTTTTCAGTCATTTTCGACTCTTAAGTAAACGAATTAAAAAGTTGCAAAAAATTCGTCTATTCAAAAAAAAAAACATTCACATTTCCCACTTTTTCGTCGCGTATACAATGTCAACCTTTGTTACTTATTCAATTCAATGCGACAATTATTTCGTAATGATAAAGTTATCTAGGGTTAACATATTAGATATCAAATTCTGAATATTTATGAACGTTCTGGGAATGAGAAATTCCTAACGTATAAATAAGATACGAGATAATACTAATAATGTTCATTCAGACGTATTATATCTGTGGGATGCCTACCTCCGTTATAGATAACAATAATAATTTTTGTAAATATATCTTTTTTTTTCATGAATAATGTTCATCATTTTCACAGTAAATTACATTGTCAATGTTCATTAATGTTCAGCTTTTATCCCCTACGTGAGATATACAACGAGCAGTAAAGTCACCATCACTTCCACCTCGATGATACGCAAGAATATGTAAATTGATCGCGAATATTTGTAACGCGCCGTGAATAATGACTCATTGTCGACTAAGAAAATCCCTCACACTCAGTCAGTGTCAATTGTATCGATCGATATCGCACGCAATAACCATGTCTTTGATTTTGCGATAAGATTTCTTCGCACTCCCCTGAGAAATTCGATGAAAGTTCTATCATTTTCTTCCTCGACGGACCGCGCATGGATCTGATAAATAAAAACTGTTTTATACTGCTGTATATATATTCTTCATTTCTCTATATATATATATATATATATATATATATATATATATATATATATATATATTTTTACTTTCATTTTTTTATCTTTCCCTGCAATCATTTCGCAGAACAGTTTTAATTCCATTAAAATATTTATTTTAGCAGCTTCTTTGCTTAAGTAGAAAAATTTGTTTAACAATGATGATGTAAATATATAAATATTGTTTAACAATATATGAGAATCTTCTAACGATGAAATCTATGTTAGATCATTGTCAATTCTTGTCTCGGCCGACGATCTTCACGAATACGTGATGCTGCTCTATCTATTCTTAACCCATAAGCGTCATAATGAAAGTGGATCATGATAGTACACGGTACAAATTAACGAGACGTTCCCTTCGTTTATTTGTGGAGCAGGTTTATCCCGAGTAGAAGCGACGGGATATGTAATGACAAGAACAAGCCATGCACATAAATGGATCTCAATCGTGTATACCATATATATAAATATGCTATCAACTATATATACACACTCTTTTCAACAACGTTTTCTACATTTTTATGCAATGAATTATCTGCAAATGCGAACAAATAAACATTTAATTCTTATATTCTACTATATTTATTCTTTATTTTTTCTAAGTAATTTATTATATAATTATTATAGTTTTGTATCTACATATTTGTATTTTTATCTACAAACTTTTTAAATTTATTTTTTATCTTTTATTTTATCTTCTTTTTTATTTGAAAGGCTTTTTATTGGATTTTTTAAAGTAATTATAAAATGTTTTTAATGCTTGATAGGCAAGAAGATATCGATTTATATAACGATAATTGAGTTATCGAAACCGATTAAGCGTTAGAGAGTAGAAAATATACATCGTTAACGAAAGTCATTTATGAGAGAACGAAAATTACGACTTTTACTTTATGGCTTGATTATCGTTTATTTTTATGGATCGCAAAAATACGTGATCGATACGTTCGAGACGATTCGTGAACACCTCATTATGACGTAACGATTCACATTTCCACATTAATTGCGGCGAAGGGATATTTCTGATATCGTTTATTATGACGGTATACATTTATAAACCGCAACGTCATTCAAAAAAAAGCGTCTCGATTTATCTTATCGGCTTTTTCGCACACTGTACAATAGATTATTGCGTAAAAAATCTCATATAACATACGTAGTTGTGTGTGTGAAGTTGGCGTATCATTTTGCGGAAACTCATTATATTTTGAGAGTTCTGACTTTCTTTTTAATAGTTCTGTATCTATAGATGTCGAAGGGAGACGCCAGTCAATTTTTAACAGTTCTGCTTATTATAAAGCAGTTTTGGTATAGTTCTGGGCATGTGCATTAAGTTTCCAAAAAGTTCTAATAATTAAAACACTTAAAAATTATTATAATTAATTATTTCATCTGTAAAACGCCTATTTTCGACTCTAAAGGTGAGACGCCAGTCGATTTTCGAGAGTTCTGTTTTTTCTAAAACAGTTCTCGTATAGTGTTTTACAGATGAAATAATTAATTATAATAATTTTTAAGTGTTTTAATTATTAGAACTTTTTGGAAACTTAATGCACATGCCCAGAACTATATCAGAACTGCTTTATAATAAGCAGAACTGTTAAATATTGACTGGCGTCTCCCTTCGACATCTATAGATACAGAACTATTAAAAAGAAAGTCAGAACTCTCAAAATATAATGAGTTTCCGCAAAATGATACGCCAACTTCACACACACTATGTAGTTTGCTTATCTTTTTTTCGATTATTGATACAATTGAAAATGTATGTAACTCATATGATTGATTAAATCGTGACTTATTACTAAAACTTATAAGCGACAAGGATTATTGTAAATATTTTCTTCACATTATTGCATTACATATTTTATGATATTTATTGTTTCATTAACTTATCGCAACAAAAGAGTCATTATAAAAATATCTCTCTTGTGTTTCTTTCCACTATACTTCATTATATATTTATGCGTGCGAAATTATGCGAGATTATCTACATGCACGGAAAAAAAATAATCGCTAACGATAAGCGTCTTGTCACTTACAAGTGATGATGAATGTTGAAATTTCTGTCGCAATTTACAGATTAATCGCGGTGTCAAGGAAAATGGTAGACTCAACTATCTCATTACTCTGCAATTTTGTGCTGATGTGCTATTAAAATGTCGTACACGCGATATTATGTAATCGTGTTTGTAACAAAGTAATCATCGTTCTGTAACTCTCTTTACAGCACTCGAACAGACCGATGAGTGTGAATCGCAGTAAATCCGTTTACATCGAAGACGCAAAAAAAATGCAGAACGGATTTAAGATCGATGATAATGATGTCATTTATAAAGATGTTGTCATCATAGGTGAGTATACGAAATATTATTAATAAAATCTTTATTTTCTGACATGAGTGATTTAATAATTTTTTACGAACGGATGGAAAAGGAATACAAAAAATGGAATAATAAAATATATATTTTTTATCTTGATTTACCGTAGATTGAGTGAAAAAAATACAAAATATCTATTTATCTTGTTATTTTTAAATTAAACTTCTTAATTTTAGCATTTTGACATTTCTTTATATGCACATGTTACCCAATTTTATGCTAGATCGGCGAATTTTTTTTTTATTTATCATCAATGTTTGAAATTGATATAACATTCACTGTGAAAGTAGAATTTTTTATTGTAAGATCGATAGTGTAAATTCATAAACTTGTGTGGAACAAATAAAAATAAAAGAAATTTTTCCCAAATAAAAATAAAAGAGAATAGAGAAAACGATTAAAATAAAATATATATTGTCCTTTTTTTAAGAATTATATATAATTCTTAAAATCGTATACGATTTTACACAATGTTTTTTGATCCTCAGGAAACGGACCCAGCGGAATATGCCTGTCGTACATGCTTGCGGGTAACTGGCCTTATTACACCGGCGAACCTCATCCCGGTGACGACATGCTGACAGCGCGATTGCGGTTCTGCACGACTAACACCGGCAGCGAGGATCCGGATGACGCGATCGCCAAGAATCGGCGTCAATGCGGCAAGTCCGGCAGGACCCAGGGAGGCGGTCTAGCGCGCAGTACGCGCTGCAAACTCGAATGCCTGTCATCTGGTATCGAGGGTAGGGGCGGTGGTCGACCGTTGGCTCTTCTCATGGACCATCTGCAGCATCCGTGCGTCGACGCCGGCCTCGACGTGGCCTCGCTCCTCGATTGGCGGTCCGCCGACGAGTATCCCGAACACAGGATTGTGGACCACGTCGTCCTCGGCAAGGGCCAGCCCGGAGGTGCCTGGCAGGTTCGTGTCATCGAATGTGACTTTTTTTCCATTGTTCTGTACATAGTTTTGCGTAAACAAGTAGACACGGATGTTTTTCTGGGCGCGTAGTAAATATAAATAAGCCTTGATAAATAGGAAATGATAAAATTAAAAATATAATCATCTGTTTAAGCAATATCATTATCTGTTATTACAAATGTTTTTATTGAGTAATTTTTAATTATGATTATCTCTAGGCTATGGACCCCAATGTGTTGACTATTAGTCTGAGCCGATGGATGTCTCTCCCCGATCTGGATTTAAGGCACTGGGAGAAACTTATCGAGGCGGAACAAATACGAGAATCGGTTTTATCCGAGACCAACGATGCGTATACGCGACCAGAAAAATTGAGCGTTTGCAAGGCGTCCAGCCGGATTTCTGTAGGCACTGTTGCTGCTTATTACAAGGATTATGTGCGCAGAAAAGGCCTGAAACAATACTTTCGATGGTACGTGTTTAAAATATTTGTAGTATGAATTTTATTATTTAATTATTATTTGACGCAAAACATTTCACAAAATGATTCTCGTTTTGCAGCGGGACTACAGTTACTTCGGTAAAATCGGATTCTGATTCACCCGAGAGTAAAGGAGGATACAATTGGATCGTGGACGGATACGAGAACAAAAGTGGGAAGCGATTTTTATATCGGTGTAAAAGGGCTGTTCTGGCAACCGGCACAACCGATTTATCTAATCATCTAGGCATTCCAGGGGAGACCACGTATCCCAACTGGGTAACGCACGATCTCAACGATCTCGAGACGCGATTAGGGCGTTTGGTCCGCGAACGTGGTATGTAAATGATTATAGATTATCTTTTTTCCATGATTATATAAAATTTGTTTATTCGCAATTTATATAATTTGTTTTCGATTTATCGTCTCATTTGAGAAATTACTAATTGTAGGTGAAACAGATGTTGATTCAAACGACGAACAGATGCTACCGGTATTGGTAGTTGGAGCTGGTTTGAGTGCGGCCGACGCGATTATGGCAGCGCGTTTTCGAGGGATACCCGTGTTGCACGCATTCCGTCATTCGTCTAACGAATGGACCAAAGAGACCGCTGAAAGGATAACTACTAGTTACGATCGATTACAATGGTTGCCGAATTCCATATATCCGGAATATCACAAAGTATACGAGATGATGGCTGACGGAGGTACAAATTATCCTCTGTATAAATCGCTACCGGGATATACGCTTGTCAGTCTCGATGAGAATCGCGAGGACGAAAATATGAATACAACGAGAAGGACAGTTACCTTTTCCGCTCCAGACGGTCGACTGCACACGTTTGAAGTGTCTGTTGCAGCTATACTTATCGGTAAGCATATATGGGATGTTCCATCAGAAACAGGACACCCTAATTATTTCTTTATTTCTGACAATATAAAACATTTATTTGAACACTGAATGGTTTCATATATGGTGCAAGGAAAATCGTTTTTCCTCATATCATAGCTAATTTAATATATATTGAACCATGAATAATGATATAAAATGATCTTAAACTTTAAAATTTTAAGTTAAAACATGTGCTAAATTACTTTTTGTTATTATTATAAATGTTAATAATTATAATAAGTATAAATAAAAATTACTCTAAATAAGAAATGAAACAGAAAAATTACCGACAAATTGATAATAGAGCAAAGAGAATTTAGGGGAAGTAAAGAGATTATTTTCTCTGTAAAATAGTAATTTTTATAAGTTTAGAACTCTATCGATACAAGATATAATGTTGTATGAAAAGAACCATAAAGTTCATAGGATGCAATATACGTATTGAATAATTTCATTTTAGGATATAAACCAGATTTATCGTACTTGGAATGCAACGGTATAGGGCTGGGTAAACTCACGGACAAGCCGATTGATAGTAAATCGAATCCGATCGAAATTGATGATTTCACGTACGAAGTGATCAAAGCGCCGACGAAGGGACTTTATGCTTTGGGACCTTTAGCCGGCAACAATTTTGTTCGCTTTGTTCTGGGCGGTGCACTTGGAATTCTTGCGCATATCTTGTGCACTACATCTGAGAGATCTGTCAGCCGTTCACGCGAACCGATCGTGTCTTAGCAAAGCTGTTTTATATACAAGCGTATTGAAACAATAGAATTGTGTGACTTCTACTGCTCAACTCGTGTGTGAATGCTGAAACTTATTTAACAAATTCATATATGTACATACTTAAAATTATTTTTGTATTCCTTAGCATAGCTCTTCAAACTAAGAAAATTTAATCGAAATTTAAGTGTATATATAATCTATACCTATTTAATGGTTTCATCGAAATATCTCATAAAAAAACAGTCGACATAAAGAGATCTGTGTTTATTCGTTGAATAACGATGTGCTGAAAAAAATGGCAATTCAAATGCTTTTTAGATCTGTTTTAGATCTATTTGCACTTCGTAACATTCCATTTGATAAGAAAATTATTTATAGTAAATAGTCACAACAATATAGTTTACATAATTCATCATTTACAATTGAAAATTACTATTGGCAAATATCATGATTAATGAATTCACAGAGATAGCCTTTGTACAAATTTGCCACTCATAATGTATATAGAAATTAATAAAAATATAACATATTATAATTAGTTTTATAAAAAATCGAATAATAGACAACGAAATTCTTGACATAAATTCTTTGTAAATTATTAAATATATTAAAAATTATCCCTTTAATGGATAATTAAATATTTTTTATGCGCATCTACTTACGTACATTATAGAAGTACTTTTAATAATTTTTATTTTTATGTGTAGAAACATATATATTGAAGCAATCAAACAGTTATGTTAAATGTAAAAGTGCATTTTTTTATATTTTGCATTATTTTCTAACAATTTGTAAATGTAAACAAATTTCGCAAAGTGAATCTAGTGATTGTATATTAATTTTTAACATAACATCTTTTTAATTTACTGTATGTAATATCTCTCTACATTTCTTAATAATAAGCTGTGATTACCCTTTAGGCTAATACTCCATTATTAATGTATCTTATACATCAGTAATATTACCTATTTAGTACAAAGTATATTGCAATTATTTTTATTATTTAATGTTACTTATTTTTTACTATAGTGCTTATTTATACTTAATTTATATACTTATTGTTTATAATTAATATTTACTTGTTTGCAGTTTATATGATTTTGTTTATAATATACGGTTTATACATTATGTTATATTAAGTTTATTTTACTTAAAGATGAAAAAGTAAGAAAAAAAAGAAAAACATTATATTTTTCGTACTTTTATTATATTTTTTATATAATAATATTCTATTAAAAGAAAAAAATATTGTTTCTTTTTATATCACACAAACACATATTGTATATAAACATGTATGATATATTACATATTATAAGCCTAATGTATTTAACATAACAATGTTATACAACAAATTTGATATTAGTGGCAGAGTGAAGTATACACAAAAATAGTTATTGGAGAAAACATTGAAAAATCTGTTAATTTATAGTTTAGTAACAAATGCGTGAAATTTTTAGAAGTTTTATTGATACAATAGTTAAGATATATTGATTAGATAAACAATAAGATAGAAATATAAAGCATACGTATAAATATAACAAAAATACTTAATATACAATCTGTGATATAGGAGGTGCAATGTTCAAAAAGTTGCAATGTAAGAGATTAAATAGAACAAATTTTAAGCACATTATATTTGGTTGTAGATACATATTTTTACATAGGAAATCAATTTATGTATATAAGAAAAGATATGCGGCTTTGTTAAAAAATGAAAAAAAAAAAAAAAGATAGATGGCCCCTATTTTTTGGATAATCTAATGGAGCACCTGTTTATCCTTGTAAAGGATCCTAACAAATTTTTAAAAAACTCAAAATTTTTTCGTTGATATTCCTAATAATTTTCGAAAACAGCCTGTAATATTTTATGTATAGTTCATCTTATATATATGAATTATATATACATATAATTCATATGTATATATGTTCGGCTGTTTTCAAATATATATATATATTGAATCATCTTTTTATTATTTTCATGGAATGATATTGTTTAACAATCTAAAACAGTTTACAATACAGATATAAAAAGTCATACTGCAGTATTTTCTATTGATATCACATGTAAATAAAAATAATTTATAACTTTCCACTATAAAAATATAGAGTTAAGAAGTAAATAAATTATTTATTACATAAATTATCTATGATTATCTTTAATATATATTGTATAAATTAAAAATGACTACCTAAATTGTATGTAATATGATACATTAAAATTGGTTTATACAAACGAGAATTAACATTGATTAAAAATAGTAATGCCACATTCATAGTTTAATGTTTCTTATAGATTAATTCGGGAACAAATAAAATAAACAGAAATCTGCCATAATCTTAGAATACATATCTCCTTGTTGGTTTAACATCTGAGAAAAGACTGCATATATTGTCTTAATAAAAAATAGCTTCCATCATTATAACAGATTTTATAAAGATATTTTAATTTTTTTTTTGTGGAACACGATAAACACCAACAAGTGTATCAATATTTTTACATTTATTTTAATTATAAGTACCTTCTATGTTTTAAATATAATAAACAGAAAACTAAGCAATATAATAGAAGCCGCAAGAATAACAATGCAGTACAATTTTTTATTAGCCTTTTGATATGAATCAGCTTTTTTTAATTGTTTATAACCCTCATGTACTTGCACTTGCGTTTGCTCGATGTTATAGTCAATCCGATCTAAAATAGTACCCTGATCTTCTACCATTACTGCAAGATCCTACATAATAAAAATCCAGAATTTTATCCGAAACTTTATCAATATTGTTATTTATTGACAGCAAATGAAATAAATGTCGAAAAAATATATACTTTAGATGGAAGAATATATTTGTAATATATTTTACTTGCTATAGTAAAATTTAATTATTAATTATGAGTATTTATAATAATTTCGCATATAATTTACCTTGAAAATGTGTTTTAAGTCTCCTATACTTTGAACTATACTTCCAATTTGTTCTTCCCTTTCCAATGCTAATTTCATTCTATCTTCAGGTTCCTCTAATTGCAATAAAACCGAGTCCTGTCTTTGCTCATTTCTCTGCCAGTAATCGGCAGTTGCTTCATTTGATTCTGTCAACCAAGAATCAGTTGCTACATTATTTAAAAGAGACTGATCTTCTGCAAAGAACAGACTATTCCTTTCTTCTCTCGATTTCACTTCTGCAAGAATTTATTACAACTAAATATAATACAAATAATATGCTGCAGCTTATTAAGATACTTTTTTTAAATTTATTTTTATTAATTATATAAAAAGAACATACGTGTCAAGTAATGATTCTGCGCTGCTCTATATCGAAGACCTAATTCCTGTAAAGCAGTTGAAAGGGCCATTACTGCACTAGCAGCTAAACGACGTTCAGCAGGCTTAGTTTCATGCCTTCCAGCTGACTTTATTGTTTGTACTTGTCTATATCCATTAGAGAATGTACGTCCAATCTCTCGTGTCAATTGTTCCATTTGTCTTTCTTCCTGCGTAAAATATAAAGCCTTGTATTATGTAATTATTATGCAAAAGAGACAACACTTTTTCACTTGATATATATTTTTTGCCGATAGAAGGGCCTTCTAAGTTAGTGATGCTATTTCTAATTGACAGTTCCTGGGAACTCAAACAAACCTGAGACGTATCATCCAAGGTGGGCCTGGTGAGTTGCTTGGAGTGCAACTCGATTAAGCTATCTATTTTCACACGCAATCTGCTCAAGACGTACTGCGTCTCTTCCAAGGCATCCGCCCAGATAGGCGGTGCACCGCTGTCCGTGCATACACCTTTCAGTTCGACATTGTCGGAGCCACCGGAGTCCGAGTCCACCAGTGCCACGCGATCGGTAAGACTCTGAAAAAGGACACCGAATGACTGTCGTGCGAAAATCGCAGAACGAAAATGAAAAATGCGCAGCATTTTGGAGTTTGATACAGGTTAAGTTAAGCACGCACCTGTTCGGCGTAGATGTGTCTGGTCTGCAGAGCGTTGTTTCGCATCAAAACGAAGGGCTCTGTCAAATTCCTTGTGGCCATATTTCGGCAATTATTATTTTTCTTCTTAGAGTAAGATACCTAACACGATACTTTGATCACTACATTGCGAATCGCGTCGTACAACGCACTGGATGGATGCTGGATGATGACTGCATCAGCTGTCATCTCAAAACAGCTGATTAGCAGTGCTGCCAAAATGAATACGGTGACGTACACACGTGAAAAGTAAAAACCACATCTGCGCTGACAATATTCTTTTTTTATTTGTAACAATTTGTATGAAGTTATTTTTTAGATTTTATATATGTATATAATATGTACATATATCTTTCAGTAATTCTATCACAGAAATAAATTGTAAAATAATCCTGTTTAAATTATTTGTAATATGCAATTGTAAAACTATCAATCTTGTGTTATACCTACAGATCCACACATTTTGTATTAGAATATTAACAAATTTAATTTTTTTTAAATTTGAACATTTACAATATATATAATTTTACATACATATATAAATATGAAAACATTTTAGCATAAGTTATAAAGGATGAAGTGTCTTTACATAACGATGAATTATAAAAATTTATTTTATGAAGAAATGAACAAGCAGTCACAAAGTTTTTCTTCATAATTAAACAACTAAGTATCATTACATTTCTTGAATCACGAATGTTTTATAATACTTTTAAAACACAACACAGTGTTCATGATGAGATTGAATTGAAGATATGCTACACTTGATATTTCAAATTTGAAAATTTTAAGTGATTTAAGAAATTTCATCTTTACAAATTTCAAGATGCATATCAATACATATCAATATTACAACTTTAAATATTTAGTCTAAAACTATTGTATATTCTAAGTTGCATCATGTAACTTGCTTTTAGTTTCAATCACTAATGGCCTAGTATTGTAAAGATGGCCTAGTATGACTTGTCTCCTGATTGCTGCCAGTGCCTCTTGTCCTTTTTCATAACATTGTTTAATCTTTTCTTGATCAGTTAACGTTTTGTTTTCTTTGAATTCATCTCGTATCTTTCGCAGAGCATACATTCTGAAAAGTAAAAAATAATTTATATATAAATATGTATATTTATATAATTATTGTCTAATGTTACACCATATAAATGTACATGATAAATGTTTTCTACAAGATTCAAATTGTCATTATGTGAAAAAATCATTATTCTTTCTATATTTCTAACCTAAAATGTGCACAGTTGCAATAATATATTTTCATAGAAATTCTTGAAACAGAATTGAATTTTTTCACAAATATTTTTAAAAATGTCAAAAAACCACATCCTTTAGAAGAATTTAACATAAGGATTATCGAGTAATGATAAAATACTTGTATTAACTATATATTACCTGTAATTGTACGAGTCCCATTTTTTGCTTTCTCCAATTAAATTTCGATAAAGATATAAAATTGCGCTTCGACTAGGAGCCATTGTTTAAATAAAAAATGAGATCTATTTTGTAAACTATCCGGCAAACCAGATAAATTTGCTGAGGCTATAGCCTGGAATACCACCGTATTTCCGATTTGATCCAATCTTCGGACAAAAGTTAGTGCAACATGTATGTAATGTCATAGATAGCACAAATAAATGCAATTTATATTGCATGCGTGCATTGCGTAATATTACTTTGTTAGCACTTTTTTTACTTTGAGTGATCTCTTCAGAGTTCAGAGTTTCACAACCGGGATGAGCAACTCTGTCTATAAACACGTGGTTACATCGAGATCGAGATATCGAGATATCGATATGTAGTTTAATTTCGATATATGAATGGCAACTGTACACGAGTCGTAATTCCTTTTATCAATATTATTAATAAAAAATAAAATATTATTCAAAATATATCAGCACATGCAATGAAATGAAATGATCGATTAATTATAATTTATCTGTATTATTATGCTTTATATAATGTTAAATGTCCGGCATTTATCCTCGTATAACCTCTATGTATTTTTTATGACATAATAGCAGTTTAATTTCTAGTTGCATCTTAAATTGATTTGTTTATACGGTGTAAATATATTGGAGTATAAAAAATCTAATTGAAATCTATTTTTTACAGTATACGTGATATATGCAATATGATGTAACAATTTCAAGATACCAATGTGAATTGATACATGTACATAGATATTTTCTGACAAAAATAAGAAATTAATGAATACAATAATGTGGTACGTAATGCCTAAGCATTTTATTGAATATTTTATTTTTTAACTAATATTTAAAATATTTGTCTTTACAGGTATACTAATAGCTGTCACTTTTGCAAGAAAGTACTGGTAAACAATATTAATGCGATCTGTAGGAGAACATCTACTGTTGCTAATGTTGATAAAAATGTTAATGAACTGGTACTTTTGGGTCAAAAATATGCAACAGATAATTGGACAAATATTACTCCAAACATTATCACTAAATTAGGAAGAAACTTGCACGTTAAACAATATCATCCACTGTCACTCTTACGTCAGCGCATTGTAAACTATTTTTATGAACAGTTTCGCAGTAAAAGCGGAACACCGTCCTTTAGCATCTATGACAATATATGTCCTATAGTGACAGTTGCACAAAATTTCGATTCTCTTCTCGTACCGAAAGATCATCCAAGTAGAAAGAAAACTGATTGTTACTACATAAATCAAGATACATTGATGAGGGCACACATGACTGCACATCAAGCAGAGTTAATTTTGATGGGATTGAATAATTTTCTCGTCATCGGAGATGTATATCGACGTGACGAAATTGATAGCTCGCATTATCCTGTTTTTCATCAGGTCGATGCAGTCAGATTGCGTACATTGGACGAAATATTTGGCAATGTGAATGATTCTGAGAGTCTGAAACTGTTTGAGCATAGAGGAATAGAAAGCCCTGAGAAGCAGGGTTGTCATACCTTAGAAGTAGTAAAAATAATGGAGCAAGAACTAAAAAATACTTTAGTTAACTTGGCACAAGTTATTTTTGGAAAAGGTATTATGTTTATTTAATATTTCTGAACAGTACATAAGAGCACACATATTTAATTTTCAAATTACAAATTAATTTTTTTGCCATTATAATAAAAATAAGGTTTGAAATTGAGATTTAAAAATTTTTTGTTCAATAGACATACAATGCCGATGGGTTGATCAGTACTTCCCATTCACCCATCCATCATGGGAATTGGAAGTATTGTATAATGACAAATGGCTTGAGATACTAGGCTGTGGCATTATGCGTCAAGAGATTCTTCAGAAATCCGGTGCAGTAGATCGAGTCGGATGGGCATTTGGTCTTGGTTTGGAACGTTTGGCCATGTGCTTATATAATATTCCAGATATAAGATTATTTTGGAGTAATGATGTGGGTTTCTTGAATCAATTTAAAATAGATGATCCTAATGCATATATACAATACAAGGTAAGATAAATATTGAAAGAATATCTGGAATATTGTGAAGTGTTTTATATCTACATACTTTCAGTAATATGTATTAATGAATATGTAACTTTTTGTAGCCTATCAGCATATATCCTTCGTGTGCAAATGACATAAGTTTCTGGTTGCCGGAAGACGGAAGTTACTCCTCCCAAGATTTCTACGATGTAGTTAGAGAAATAGCTGGCGATACAATTGAACAAATTTTGTTCAAAGATGAATTCATACATCCAAAGATTAAGAAAACATCCCATTGTTACAGTATAGTATACAGACACATGGAACGTACTTTAACTCAGAAAGAAGTCAACACCATTCATAGTAAGATAGGAAAAACAGCAGCTGCTAAACTTAATGTAATTATTAGATAAAATTAAAAATATGTTTTTCTAATAAAATCCTATTTATATTCAGAACTCTGAATGAATGTGTTATTTACTTTGAAAGTTATTATTGATAAAATGTGGACATGAATTATACGAATATCGCAGGTCAGGTTAAGGAATATATTACTTTATTTGCGAATAAATTAATCGTAAACGTATTATTACATAGTAAATAATAGTCTTCTAGAAACAGCTATAATATTATTTGTGGTACGCTTCATCCACATTAGTGATAACAACGATTACAGGTATGTTCTACATGCTTGCAGTATATACATGAATATAAAACATATTACGTAATCCGATATGATTATTTATGCGCAATATACATGACTGTGAACATAAATAATAACAAAAGATATGTGCTCTTTATAGAAAGAAATAAAATTTCTTAGGAAAAACAATAAATCCCTTGAAAATAGAATCTTATAAGTTCTTTATATAACAATGTTAGTGCAAAAAATGCTGTTTAGACTTATATTTGCAAAAATCACAGTTTTATTTCTGATTACTCAAGTTCTATCATTTAATTATATTAACTCTCTAATCATTTTTCAAGTAAAATGCATTTATTTCTTATTATACTGATCAAGACTGCTTGATCTATGCAGATACTTTAAAATTTTAATATATGAAAAATTCTATTGTGCTCAATTAAAACACATTCAATTTATATTTTTATGAATAAGCAATAAAGATCAAAATATATAAATGCCGCATCGTATGTGTATATATATAAATATATAAATGTACTGAAATGGAAGAATGCGAATTTGGCAATACATTCAGAAATATAAATATAAATAATATGAACAAAAGAGAAATATAAAAAGAATTTATATAAAAAAAGTCATGTATTTAAGCCAAGACGCATAATATAGATAAGATAAGCTTGCAGGAAGAATTAACATTAACGCGTAACATCATGAAATTGTCAGTTCAATTTATAACAACTTTAATCCAATCCTCACTTTTTTTTTAAAAGTTTGTGCAATATAATACAAGAAAATTTTAATTTTATTTTGCAGTATAAGCAATCTTTTGTTACATTAGTTCTTATTAAGACCAATGTCACAAAAATTGTTCAGTTACAAAAATAGTTCATTGATATAAAATTGTGTGCACATACTTTTCTTATTTCATTAAAAATTAACTTAAGCAATATTATTATATTAATTGGATTGGATTATATTGGGGCATTAGAACAAAAAAGATTTGTATATGTTCTTTCTCTAATGTTAATAATATATATCAAGTTGATTTCCACCCTTATCGTTCATATATAGATTAATCAAATTTCGCATAAATTTTAAGATAATTTAGTATAACTAGGAGGTGAAAACTTTTTCCTCAAAAATTTTAAGATATACAGTGGCATGCAAGAAACTAATGTTATCACCAATACTTTCCATAAGAAGTCTGTTGTCTTAATAAATTCAGCATCTATATCAAATAACAAAAAGTCAAAGTTAATGAGATAAATTTAAATTTATCGTTTTGTTAATATATAATTATCTTTTTGTTATCAAATGTTGCAAACTTACCAAAGTAATCTTTGAGGACGACCAAAGACAGCAAATAAAGCGCTAGAGAGAAGATTTCTGCAAGTATCATTATATGATGCCAAGTTCTAATGGTCAAAGCAACCATTATTAACTCTGTCAAAACTAGCGCTGAAAAACTAATGGCTACTATATGTATGAATTCGTCCTCGAACATTATAAGTGCACCATACATAATTACTCCTCCTAAAATAAAATAAAAATATACTTCATTTTTTTATATATTACATTTTATATATTACATGTTATGATTTAAAATTGCATACCTTGATATATACTTATCAAAACCCACATAAAAATGTTTTATATGACAATGAACGGCCTTTACTAAGTTCTTTATAAAGTTCTGGATAGGTAAGCGCCATTTTTCCCGATACATCCTTGTCTAATACCAATGAAAAGACGGGAAACATTGTATATATTGTAGCATATCTATAAAAAAAAAAAATTTATAAATTTGACAACAGTTTATATAACTTTGATATACAGAATGTCCCATTATAATGGAAACAGTTTTATATCTTGTAAACTTAACATCACACAATAATTATTACTTTCATTAAACATAGAAATACCCTGTACATTAAAATAGTAGCTAAACTGTGTTATGTATGAAAGAATTACAATTATATATAGGAGAACATAAGCTTTAAATTTAATTTTTAGCATGTGATATTGATTACTTACCCTACCATAAGAAAACCTTGATATAAGGCAACCGAAGACAAATAAAAAACTGCCGAGAATACAGCCTGCATAGTTGAAATGATCAAACCACGATGTATGACAAACTGACTTAATGCAGCCGATCGTTTATAACTTCTTCTACCATGGACTAATAGTAAATTAGCAAGGTGATTAAATTGAGAAATTGAAAAATCTGCAGCTAGCGATGCTTGTCTTCCCTCAAGACCTTCGAGACCAATTCCTATAGACAAATATATACAATAATAATATATATAATAATATAATGAAGATGTAATATATATAATTAAATTAGAGAATTTAATAACAAAATTACAAACACATACCAGCATCTGCAGCTTGTATCATGGAAACATCATTACCACCATCACCGACGGCTGCAGTTCTCTTGCCGGTGTGTCTTTGTATGAGACTGACAACTTCGGCTTTCTGCGTGGGAGAACATCGGCAGCAAACGACAGCGGGTGAGCCGCAAGCAAGTTCGAGAAATTCTTGCTCGTAATATTGTAAGCACACTTCCAGGGAATCGCCGCTGATAACTAAGGCACAATCTTGTTTCTTGCGAAATGTATTCAGCTCCAAATGGGCATCAGTGCGCGTCACGACAGATTTGAAAACGTGCAGTCCTTGAGTACGCGAGACTAAACACGATGATTTTGCTATACACGTCGCAGTCTCCAATTTGTCGCCGGTCAACATCCATATCTTGATTCCAGCATTCCTCAAGAGTTCCAATGTAGGCCTGACTCTATCCTGCAGTCTGTCCTCGACACCAGTTACGCATAACAGTTCCATTTCCCTCTCAAGACTCTCTACCACGGCGACAACTCTCGATACACGATCACTGACGCTCATTCTCGCTGCATTATACCTATACAATTTAATGCCAATAATTATCATTTATATATATATATATATATATATATATATATATATTATATCATTTCAAAAGTAAAACTATAATACTTCTAATAATATGTGTTACCTTGCTTCGAAATCAAGATATTGATCTTCAGTCAAATTTTTTTGGCCACAACCAATGTTCTGAGGCCTTCGCGTGCCATGTTTTCGCATACTTCTTCTAGCCAATCATTATATTGTACAATACCAGACATCACGACATCAGCACCTTTCAAGTAAAATACGATCTCGGAGCTGGATTCTTCTTTGACGATTATTCCCATTCTCTTGGTTTCTGATGTAAAAGGGAATATTTGCAGTATGGTATAATTCAATACTTGACCATTCAAAGTCTTCAACTGCATTGTATTTAAATCTCGTTTAACCAGGGCCAATCCTATCTCTTCTGTCCATTTCACCAGAGCCACTTCGTCTGGACTGGAAGCTTGATAATTACGTTTCTGTTCAGGCAGATAGTAATGCTGATCAGCTTCTGTTTGACTGAAACATTAAAATTTCATTATTAGTCAAGGATATTCCAGCTTTTGTAATTTGTTAACAAGAGAACAATACCTTTGAATGGAACCTGTATCTCCAGTTTCTACCGTCTGCACGCTCACTGAATCCAGATTCGAGGATTTATTTACCTCGTCATATACTGGAGTTACGTTGTGGCACAGCGCTAAAGCATGCACGGCATCGTAGATCCGGGTATTCTCGGACCTTCGCACTTTTCCACTATGCAGAGATAACGCCTGCTTTACCGGGGAATTTTCCATATCAATCGGATAATAAGTCTTCAATACCGATGTCACTTCATCAAACGTTTCCTGGCTGTAAGATATGGTGCCTAAATGCAACTTTTTGAACACCATTTTATTCTGCGTCAACGTGCCGGTTTTATCGCTCAGCAAATAAGATATGCGTCCGAGTTCTTCCGGAATAGTGGTTGTTCTCACCACTGTACCGGCGATATCCTTATCTCTTTGTATACACCACGCGTAAAACGCCTTCCCCATATCCAGATTTACTCTCAAGCTGATCGGTATAATGTACGAAAATAGCAGGACAAAACGGAACATGTAACGATACCATGGTCCATTGAATCCTTTCAAACACATCATTACAAGTGCAAGTCCTATTACCGCGCAGAATAATACCTGGAAAAATATAACAGATATATAAACATTCTTATAAATTAGATGTATTACATCTTGATGTACAATTTCTACATCGTATTACCTTTGTCAATTGATTGATTTCTTGATCAAGTAAACCAACTTTTGATCTGATTTCTGAATGGTTCATCAGAGATCGCGTTTCCTGACCGGTATAAACAACAATTCCAAGAGCAGAGCCTGATGCCACAGCTGTATTAGCCCACAATGTGTTGTCCACACCCAAGCTTTCTTCACTGCTGTATCCATCGTACTAAAAATATAATAAATAATTAAATAACGAGAACATTGAAAGATTTCAAAATAAAATATGCAAGGGAATTAAATTCTCACTCTTGAAAAAGTTCCAATAAAGCTATGTATATCCTTTTGAGGTTTTTCAACATACAAACTGGCTTTAATATCAAATAACTGAGAATTGCTTTCAAGTTTTTGCGTTGCAGGCACTGCTAATCTCAATTTCCAATCTGTTTCTCCATCCAGCTGATCAGTTCGTACAAAACATGCGCCAGATTTTTCGGTTGTGCGTAATAATACCAAATCAGCTGGTACTCTCTGGCCCTTCTCCACTATTACCTAGTAGAAAACAAGAGCACAATTGTTCATTTATGTATAACTTATATTATATAAGAAAATATAAAGCTTGATTGTTAAAGAGAAATATTATATGATATGACTTACCAAGTCACCTACTCGTAATTTGGAACTTGGTACTAATTCTGGCGTATCAAAACCTTTTACTAATCTATAATACTTTTGCGCATTGACTTCTTTGTCTCTTTTATATCTTCTAAAATCATCAATACCTTCACGAAAAATTGTTACAGTTAAAACAAAGCACAATGGTCCCCAGTATGTATACAAATATCCTATTCTTATGTCTGGTATGAATTGAGATATAGCCATAAGTAGAAAGTATAAATTCAAGAAGAATTTAAATTGCTGAAAGAGAACCTGTAAAAGAGAAATAATTGTTATTCACTGCACTGTTTTATCCTATATTTACAAATTATCTATCATTGATTTTATCGAGAGAAACATACCAAAGGCAAAAAAGTAACAACATTGTATTTTTGATTTCTTATTACATTAGTGGGAAACTTTTCATGCATAGGTTGACCAATGTGGATAACCCTGGCTCTTAATTCCCGTTCTCTACAACATCTTCTCCACATCCAAGTACAACATCTGTAACCATAAGAAACAATCCCAATTAAAAAAAATAATTTATTTTTTAATCTTTTTAATTTTATCTTTTTTTTATCTATTCATTTTAATTTGCAATTATAATAATCAGAAACATAGAAGAATGCGTATTAATCGATTTGATGAACGTAAACAAACATATATATATAATATTGTTCTGACGCATTGATCCGAGGACCCAGCTGCATTCGTGCGTGACTCGAACCGTGACACATATTTAACTGAAAGAAATTTATTGCTGCAAAGGAAAAATCCACGACGGGGGATACGCGGGAGAGATACGCGAAGGATGACACAACTGTCATAAAAATCGAAGCCTCGATTTTCAGTCGAGATAAGATATATAATGCGTCACCTCGACCAAGAACTGTCATTCCGTGGCTTGGATATCAGCGGGATGTCCTCCTTGGACATCCTTATAACGTTGCTCTGCGTCTCCATTTAAATTGATTTCCTCATTAGACGATGGTATAAGAGACGCTCCGATGTGACTTCGCACGCTTTTCTCCTCGTACACAAAAATCACTGTCCGATAACTCTCATCAATTTTATTATCAGGAGTCAACAATATTATGACATCACACGAGCGCGGAATACGCGATTGCGAGATGCGCATGTCACGAGAGAATGTCAGTGCAAATCAGACAGATTCGTGATTGGTCGCACTCGGTCGATAAAACAGGATTGGCCAATCAGGGACGCGAAAAAATATTGGCTCCCCTGAAACGTCAATTCTTTTTCTATTGGCTATATATATCTATGACTCTTGCGTTTGAATAAAATACGGAAGCCGTTTGAAAAATATTAGCAACGATCAACGACTCTCTTTCGCACACCATCGGGGAAACTCTTCAGGTATGTATGCAGGTACAAGTAGTAATTGACTTCGAGGAACGTAATTCATGTAGCTATGTTATAATTTTTAAGTTTAATGAGATAATAATAAGTGTAAATGTTGCTACCTGAATTCAGGTAACGATTGCCCGAGATGGAGAAATGTTTCACAAAAGTTGTTCCGATATTTCATTTTTTAAAGAGGCAGAGAAGAAACATTTTGGTTTGTCTGAAAAAACGAATCTTTCTCTTTACGATGAGATATCTAATAATTTTACTTTCGTCTTATTAAAAGGCTATATATATAATCAAAAGAGTAGAAGAGAGAGAGAGAGAGAGAGAGGGAGAGAGAGAGGGAGATATTAAAGAATTTATCATAAATTTTATACTAATATTGAAACATGTTCTTTATTCCTTTCCAGTGCAATATTTAATACGCGAAATGCGTTTATGAATGCTGACGAAAATACGGCGATGCTAATATTCGCAATATCAAGTCTCATCCCTCTTCTCGGAAGTCCTACGTAAGTAAAATGTCGTACTCGAGTAAGTACGATATAGGAGGTTAAACGGGAGGGTCGAATACTCTATTTCGAGCACGCGTAGCTTTCCATCGACCGTATTTAGCATCGTACGAGATTCAGCTCCTCAAATTATTTATGGTACATATAGCGACAATAGACGCATGTTTCTTTATATGCAATTAATTATTAATTAATTTTCGAATTAATTGTTTTAGCAATAACGCAATCTCATCTTATATTCTCTTATCTTATTGAATAACGCGAATACGGTTTTTGTTGAATTAAAAATAAATTATAAATATAAATAATATATTATATTTATATATATATATATATATGTATATATAAATAAATTATAAATATGTTCATAATCGATAAATGATAGAAACATAAGTTGCACATTTCGATATTATGCAGTTTATATTTTACGTCTGTCTCGTGCATTATTTTTTCTCTCTTACATCTTATCATTACGTTATATTTTTAGTCTTCAATTGTAAAAAAAATGATAAAAAAGATACAATTCTTCGCGTAAAAACAATAAAAATTTAAGCGTTCTATTTTTTTGTTATATTAAATTAATTTATTATAGATTGTACTAAATTATTTACTGCATAATATCTTGTGTGCATCAGCTCATTATAAATTTTCAAATCCTAAGTAAGGCAACATAATTTTTATATATTTGTAAATATTCTACTCCTCTGAACTCTATTACGAATTTTAATCATTGTCCTTCTTTGATGATTTCTCTTACAATGTAAAAAATATTTTATTTTAAACATTAGATATCAATATAAATAATAAATTAAAATTTTATTATTAAACTATTTCAAATTTTACATGACAAAATAATAACGCAATATCTCGGGTGCTTTATTATTATAAACCCAGATAGCCACAGTAATTATTATGATATCATTTTGATGTCAAAACGCATCATTTGCCATCAAAATGATGCATTTTGATGTCATAATAATTATTGTGGCTATCTGGGAATATAAATAATAACCATTTTTAAGATAACATAAGTAAATAGTAGATATAAATAAAAAAAACATTGCGCAAAACATCACGCAATGTAAAAAAAATTATTTATAGATTTTGTTTGAAACTATATTAAAAAAATAGATTTATACATAAAATGGGCCAAATTTTCAGGGATATATTTTTTTCTAATTTATAAGATGAGAGAAAAAATGCGAAGAAATATATCATTATTTATGAAATTCATATTTCAGGTACGTGTCAGCGATGTCACGCGTTTCGAAACACCCTGCAGACAAGCCGGAGGAGATGAGGGACTCACCCGCAGAGGCAGTTTCTCAGGTACTTGGAGCAATCCTTGATGCGCCGTCGCCTCGACGTCAGCTGCCTGATGCTGTCCTCGGACGGCTGCAGCAGGTAGTCCGTCTCGTCATCGTCCATTTCAAAGTCCCGCTCGTCGGAGCTCAGCCGCAACGGCATCTCCTCCAGCCTCATGGCGGTGTCGAGGCGGCGGCGCACTTTCGCGTTGCCCGTTTTTGTGTCTCTTTTTTTTCCCGTACACCCAACACAATCTACCCCTTATCGAAGATCACCTCTCGGCTCTCTCTCCACTCAACCACGCAAGAGGGTGAGACACGCGGTTAACTGATGATGCGGATTAATCGACGTCTCGCGCGTCGCGAGATCTCGCGACCGACCCTCGCCGCGACACGATGTCCGCGGCACATATCTTTTTATTACTCTCGCAAGCTTCGGCTGAGCCAGATCCTCGGTGGTCGCGATATCGAGACTGCACTATCGGCAATGTTTTTGAGTTGGCGCGACGAGGTCACGACGGCACGTCGTCGTCGAGAGTTCGCTTATTTACCACGCACCCACACACACATGTACGGCCGAGTTGTATGTGCGTCACGGCGATTCCGTGGAGCGCGATCGAAAAACGCGGGAGATCGTAAATGCTAATCATTCAACGCGTTCTCTGTACACGTAAGCGATAAGAATAAAGGTTAATGTATGTTTTATTGTTATCGTATAGGTGCGAGAATCGCGTTCTCGATGCCGTACGCGGCAACGCGCCGCGTGTCGCCATCTTGCTCGCTCAGCTGATCGAGCTGTCGTGATGGTTGTTACATCTGCGCGCCGTCTGTTTAAGTAAACTCGACTTCGATTTTCTGGGCGCGCTGATTAGAATGATCTCTAAAGATCAAATTACAATTATATATTACGCACTGCATGCATAGTGTTTCAAGTAAGTCATTTTTAATTATAAATATTCTTCTTGATTATTTCTTTAATTGATATTTCAGGTTAATTATCTGATAATTAGAAGTATATCTCATTCTTTAATTATTTATTTTATTTATTATATATTTCTGTCCATATATTGATCTTATTTATAACAAGAAAGCATTATTATACTACATTAATTAATATTAATCCCATATTTTATGGCTAATGATTCGATTGTATTTTCCAACGCTTTATCTTGCGATGTTACTTTGAGTTGTAATTGTCGGAAAATTTGTTCGCATATAGATCGCTCATTTTTTGTCATGAAACATATCGTCAAATCGAATCTATTACATGTGCATAATATACTGAAAAGTTCTATAATCGATGTTACATCGTTTATATCTGATAAATATTGTAGACATACATTCATAAAGTCACCGAAAAAAGATACAGGTATCTCTACTCGGAAAATATGATTTCGTAAATTATTCCTGTAATAATATTATATATATTAATGTATGTAATATTTTAATTTTTACATTTCATGATTCTTACTTTAGATTCCATATATAATCGAATTTTTCAGAGTGGTCTGTAATTGCTCTCCAAGATTGTAAAAAATCTTCGTACGTTTCTGGAGACTTTTTTATAATATTTTTATTATTCTCCATATCGCATTTCGATTTTTGTGCAGTACATGTAATCGAATCATAAGATGTAGTATTAATCATGGGATTCCACTGCACTCCAATCTTAGGTTTCATATCATTACGATCTAAAGATTTTAAGTGAGCACCATTCACCTTTCACAAAATTATAATTTTAGTAAAAAAATAAAAATTTATATTATATTATATTTCAAAAATAATAATTATGTATAATCTTACACAATCATGATAAAATCAAAATTTATTGATATATTTATAAATTCTTAAAAATTATTTGGAGAAAATTATTTTTTATTATACATATAAGTAAAATGAATTACCATCTGTCTAAAATGCTCATATGTCGGTGTTCCTTGTTCAACAGCTCGGATTTTAGCATCGTTTTGTAATTTATACAATTCATCCTCTGCGAGAGCCGCGTGAAGTTCTTCTTCCAAACGTTTATAATCTACAGGAGCCTTTAATGCACTCATGATTTGTCATTGTACATACACACATTTTCTTGTCTCTCTCAACAATTCTCTATTAAATAATCTGACATGATAGCACAACTGTTTTGTTGTCATAGAAACGCTACTATAAGCTCGATTACTTTATTGATTAGAAATTTATTCGTATACTATTACAATGTTTTATAACAATTTTTTTTATTTATTTATAATTCGTAAAACAATTGTACAATTCTCTGATATAGCCAAAAATTAAATTAAGTAATTAACTTGTAATAAGAGTACAATACGCAATAATTAATTAAGACTAAATGAAATACTTCTTAATTAATTTTATTTCCTAGTAATAATAGCTTCCGTTTCAGATAGGCCTTTCTCCTTTGCTATTCTGTCTTGTCTTTTCTTTATTAATTTATTGTGGGTTGTTTTCATCTCAAGTATCTCTTTCATTTCTTCCTTGTCTTCTTCCTAAAATCAATATCGTTATATAGAAAATTTATTATTAAAATTATACATTTTTATATATACTAACAGATTGATTTAATCGAAGAACCAATGCTTTACGACCATCTGACATGGGCTGAGAATAATCCATCAATTTTTTTAATCTTTCAGCTGGACTTACACCTCTCTCCACGACCAAGACGATACGCGCCCACTAAAAGATGCAAATTTAACGTGAATGGAAGTTAATGCGACCTCCTACCATAATTAACTGACGACGTACTTGTCGTTGCCACTCATTCCTGGTTTCAGCGATCTTCTGGTAAGTGTTGCCCATCATAGCAATTAACATGTTTACGAGCAGGATTGCCACGATCGCCATATATAACACAAACAGCAGCTGCAACAATAATAACTATTGCTGTAATATTATCCAATCGACGCTGAATGCGAATTTGACAGTTCTTTTGCTTGGCACACATGCACAAGTAATCATCCATTACATAAGAAAATTAAGTGAATTATTTAATTGTTGTTGAAATATGCAATAATTAATTATTATTATCCTAATTAATATATATAGAATAAAAATGGCAATGGTGGTGATCGTAACTGTAAATATTTTCTATATTTCTGAGAAACTTAATAATATTATTGTGAATGAAAATATATACACCTTGGCTTCGAATTCATGCTCGGTTCTGTCAAACGCGCCAAAGTAATCGCCAAAATTCGTCATGCTCATCAGAAACATCGCCATAACGCTTTCCATCGGCGTTGGCATTGGATTCGATATCGAATCGTCAACACCTTCCGGAGTGTTCGGATTGTCGAACGACAAAAATATGATATAATACGCTGCAAATAAATTATATATATAATATTAGTATAATATTTATCCAAAATACATGCAAATTCACGCTGCGTAGAAACATATTGAATGACGTTTCAAGAGTATCTATATAGAGTCTGGGATATTAAATTAATTAATCGCGGATGACATCTCGATCAAGATTTTCTATTGTGATAGTAAATATTTCTACGAGCGAACAGACGGTCCATTCAAGCGGCAAACCATTGCATCATTATTAAGCGCGATGATGAAAAATGAAACACAATAGTACAGTATGCGGTATTCCGTTGCTGGTGGCATAACAACGTGTCGCACCATTTCTCACCATTGACCTTCCCTCTGTGTCGCCTCCTTCTGCGGCGTTCTTCGCCTTTGTACAAGAAAACCTTCGGCTACGCGACGATGTGTGTCAATGTTGTCGCGTTGCAGTGTGTCGTAAAATCATCGATTAGGTCATTTATTATGTCGTACGCGCGTCGCGGTGCTATTATTCCTGCGGCTAATTAATAATTATTGGAAATCAATAGAGAATAAAGTACCGTAACAGAATCGAACCGCCGGATCGAGCGAATTTATCCATTATAACGTGTCATTACGTCTCTTTAACTGCGATCATCAATTGTGATTATCAGCATCAAGGTTGTTCGTCTGTTCTATTCTAGGCTCCATTCATAAAAAATAAAGGAGTGCACAGAGAAAAATTTCTCTTAGAATTTATCCTGAAAATTATGGTAATCGTAGGACAATATATGGTATTGGAAGAATTTCATGAGTTTCTCTGATTAACATTTACCACAATACAAAAATATTAATATGTATACATAGTAAAATTAATCGAACATATTTTTATATCTTATTGTGGTAGATATTAATATTTTTATTGTGGTAAATATTAATGAGAGAAACTTTTATAAAATTCTTTACCGCATGATTTTCAGGGTAAATTCTAAGAGAAAATTCTCCCTGTATGTAAAACGTGAAATTCAAAGAATATTAAATTAGTATGAATGTTTTTTGTTGTTGTAACGCGTTAAGTATTTCATTACCTTGGGAGAATCCCATTACGAAGACAAGGTAGATAGAGACGAATCTGATGAGATCGCCCATAATCATTCTGTAAATCATGACGACAAACGGGCCGACTGTCTTAAAGCCTCGGCAGAAGAATAAAAAATATGGTCCCGTGGTAAGCATCACCACGACTGCCAGCTTGTCTTCGACCTCATCCGAGCAGGAAAATCTCAGAAACGGAAATGACAGTAAGATGCAGCATGAGAACAGAAACATGACGCGTGACGGCGCCGTCATCTAAAAATCGCGTTTACATTAATATATGTTAGAAATGTTTTGTAATTATATCAATCAGATAGTTTAAAAATATTATTTAAGTTTCGTGATTTGTTAGATCATTGAATTGAATTCAATTATTATAGTGAAGAGGTCATCTTAATTCTAAGTTAAAAAATTAGCAATTTTATTTTGATTAATTATTTGTTAACTCGTCTCTTTTTTCTTGCACATTAAGAAACATGTTGAGTACATCTTAATTGATTCTTACGAGATTTTCAAAGAACATGTTAAGACCTAAAAATCTCGCCTCTCGCAACGCAGCCAAGATATAGAGCACTGCTGCAACAAACATGACAACTTCCCCAGCCAAACGAATCTTCGCGCTCATTGTTGTCAACTGCATCAGCCTGCATTCCTCCATAAGATAGTCCCACCTGTCCAAGCATATAATATTGTCATGAAAAATAAAAAAGCTTCCCATAAAAATATTCTATGTCAGAAATACATATATCCAAAAATTTATAAATTTTGCCAATATTAACTTTTATTATAAAGCTTAAAATTTTGTTGTTTATTATTAATATATTGATAATTAATTCAATGTTATTAAATTCGATATTAATAGTATTATTATATAAAATATATAAACATAAAATAGTATTATTTTTTAATAATATGTTCTGATCTTTATAATATATTATATTTAATGTACCTTTTTTCGAGATCGTTAAAATTTTCTGGCTTAGTGACATCATCAATTATCGTCTTGGCGGTTGAATTAGCATCAATCGTAGCAGTTTTGTTATATGTATTCGTGAAATAGTCCGACGCGTTTTGAAAGCTGTCGGTATACCACGGTGTATGAATGGTGGCCTCGTCAGGAGTACTTAAGCCCTCATTGTCGCTCAATGTTAAAGTAAAATGCTTCTCAGAGCTGATGTAATATTCGATGTCACCTGCAATTGGATCCTCTCCAATGACTCTTGCGTCACGTTTAAGGATGATTTGAGATTCGAAGTAAAAGCCGCCGTGAAACTATTTGTAACCAATTCTGACAGATCCGAACTTTGGAGCGATTTGAGAATCGCGGATTCCATCGATGTCATATTAAAGTTGCTCGTCAATGTATCATTCGCGTTTTCGTCTGATTGCGGGCCAGGGCGAAGGGTGAAACTAATCAGCGACAGCACAAAGTAGAAGTAGAAGAGAATGAATTGACGGTAGAATCTAAAAATTTCAATTTTTTAAATATTTTCTATATTATATCTTACATTAAATTGAAAAATAGCCTTCTGCATATTTAGTTTTTTATAAAGATAAAATAGAGAGACGATTATATTTTTTATACATGAGAATAAAAGATTATATATTTTTATATACATACCGAAATTTAACAAAAGTGTTCCACTTGGCGTTTAGAAGATCAACTAGGACGCCATCCATTAATTCTAAATGTTCATCTTTATCCTATAATTATTAAATTATTATACATATGTGAGAATTTTAAAGAAAAAAAAATTATGTAATTTATTCGCTTACGCCAAAAACAACCAAATTTAAAGCAGAGTTGTTGTTGATCGTTCCCGTATCAACATCAATCGTATCTATTTGTGATAAAGGATAGGCTGCACAAGTTATGCTACCGATCTGCCAATATATTTCTCTCTCGATGTTCAGAATGTGAAAGAACATTTCTACCCTAGCCAACTTTGCTGACAGAGTCAACGGAGTCAGATGTTGGATGTTTCTTATGTCTAGAGAAGCTCCAACTTCATAAGCCATGTCGAACGTAGTCTGTGAAATCAAATTAAAGAGCAGATATATAAATACTATATTTTAAATGCTATATTATACATTTTTTAAATTTTGCTATGCATTTTTGTACACTTTAATAAAAGACAAGATATTGCCTTGATTTTTTGGCAAGTATTAAATTCATCAAATCAATTTTTACCTTGCTTTTTATTAAAGTGTACAAAGATGCAAAATTTTTAAAATATAGTATTTATTGTTTTTTAAATATGTCTGTTTTATACAATATTTAGACGATATTTTATATAAACGAATAAAAGATTGAGATAATACTCGCCAATTTTTCGTATATCACCAGCATATGCAAAACCGTGTTCCCATTTGTGTCCTGCTTATCAGGATCCGCGCCTCTGGCGAGAATAAGTCTGTAGCATTCTTCTTGACCAAGGCATGCAGCAAAGCTCAAGGGATATTCTCCCCAATAAACGTATCTATAAACGTGTAATAATAAAAAAATAGGTCTTCTTCGTAGGCTTTTATCGAATTAACTATACTTGTATTATGTTCTTGATATCGCGCCTGACAAGATTCATTAAAATCTCTGATGGAAGAGCCTGTTCACATATAATTAACCCGTCACGAGGAATTTAACTCTGGTGTAATATTAGGTCACGCTTAAGCTTGAAATGGTTAAAAACTTATGTCGTCTAGACTAAACGGTGTATTAGTTAATCGGAATGGAATTTTTCTGCTTCGCTTGAAACGAATTGTAACATCGTTTTCTTAAAAAATGCTATCGCACATACCCGTCATAATTGGTTTCCGGTGTAACGCACACCCACTCGTGCTCTTGACTATCAAATCGCGATGCTTTCTGATCCTCCGGGCACATAAAATTACCGAAGCATCTCTCGTGAATAATCATCGGATCGTCCGCACCGCTGTCGAGAAGGACTTCACCATCGACGGATCCTCGTTCACAATAGCAATATGTAACACATTTTCTCCTAAATACAAAGCGTTATCATTAAAACTAAGACAATAATTGTCGGAAGGATACATCTCGATTTTTTATTACATAAGCATATTTCTCTATGAATTTATAAAATTTATTATATTTAATTTTAATTTATATGTTTGGATTATTTGTATTTATATTTTCACGCTAATGTTGTGCGCGACCTGAATTCGAAAGGATCTCTCAATTAAAAAATAATGAAAGCCGCGAGAGTCTCCGAAGGAATGAATGGTTTACCTTGAAAATGCTAATGTTTCATTACGCAAGGGATACGCTATGAATAGGAATCTTATTCAGCGTACTTGTTGGAGAGTTTATCGGCAATGGATTTTTTAATCTATATGCTTCCTCACAAAGGAGAGATATAATAAGAGTTTTAATTGACAGTATTAAAATTCATTCTCAAATTGAGAATTGCTTATCATGCATTTCGTCATGGTTACAGGAACTCAACTTACCGTAATATTCATCGCATAGATAAATATCATGTATAGCTTCGGATAGAAAACGTAGCAGTCTTTTTGCTAAATCAGCGTGGAGGGCAGTAGCATTTAGCATACATAAATGCAAAATAGTTTCGCCAACGGCACCTCTATCACTCAAATTCCAACACACTAATCTATATTTGCTTTTATCTGTCAAGAAGTCAAAAGTGTAATAAAATTTAATATTGCATAAAATATTACCTTGTAGTGCACAATTTTATGTCATGATTTAAATAGGAAGTAGAAATATATATTTTGCAAGAATTTATCTATACATTATAATAATTTAATTAAATTTTACAATTTATTACCTATCTTAGTTCATCAACTTCTTCATCGCCCATATCTTTATCTATATCGTAATCCGCTGGATTTTCCATAGTTTTTAACGGTGGTAGCTATGCAACGTAACATAAAAATGTTAAAAATACTGACGTTACAACATTGAGAGAAACGAAATCGGTCGTGTACCATTTTGTGTCGCGAGCGATCTTTATTTCGTAAGAGGACCAATTTATCTATAGGTATCCATTTGCCCTTTCCTTTGTTGTACAAAAAAGGTTCGACTTTCGTTCTAATTGCATGATCTAATTCCGCAAACTGCTTTGTTTGAGTGGCTCTTTTCATCATATCAACAAACACAACCACCACTGCAATCGATAGAATAATATATTTAATCGCAATAAGCATAATGACAAGGAGAATGATGAAAAATAATTATTCATTAAAGTAAACAATTTTTTAATTAATTTTTTCTTTCATGAATCAAAAATATTGCGAAAGAAATTGGCAAGAGAAAATTGTGCGAATTTTCAGCCTTACTTCAGACGTCGAGAAACTTAATGATTCGCGGCCGCGTCAACAAACGTCATCGCGTGATATAAAATTAAATCCACGGACGGACACGTGCAGAGGTTCATTGCGTCACGACTGCAAATATTTCGATTGTCGAATGCGTGTTTCAAGGGACCGTATATCGAACATTAGCACTTGAACCATTTGCCTTCGGAATAATCGATGCAATGAATCATGAACCAATAAAAGAGGCAGAGCGGAACAGATTTGTTTCGATTAATGTTAATTCTGTGCGAGAGAACATTATGACAACATTCCTATTTTTGTGATCGAAAAGTGCATGGTCTTTCCTCCCTCTAAAAACAGCTGTAATTGTGATGATTATTTTGAGATCCGTTCTAATTAAATTTGCAGTCTGTCAACTCATGATGTCAACGACGTAGATGTCGTGAATATTATGAGAGGAATTCGCGAGGCGCCAGCTTGGAGTAGTTTTTTTTTATGTTTATATAATACATTTTATGCAATTATCATCGCAATAATTTGGTTTATTCTTCATTAATATATACATACATATTCTACAGCATTTTTAATAGAATTATTATATATTTAAATATATTGAATATAAGCAGAGAGAAGAAAAAAAGATAAATTATATAATTCTTTTATTTTTATTCTGTTTACTGTTCTAATTAAATTATTATTCAATTTGATAACATATTATTACGTCGTATATTCAAGTTTCCATCATGCAATTTACATGTCAATTGATTTGGATTTTTAATTTACTAGATATGAAAAAATATTTTACTATACAAAACATATAAATGCATTTATCATGATATTTAAATTCTAATCTGTAATAAATGCTGTAGAGTCATTCATTATATTTTTTTTAATAAATACAGTAATCAAGGGAAATATATTTTCTAATCTGAAGAATAACACTCTCTTCTACTGACATTATATTAATAAAACTAAAAATAGAAACAAAAATAGAAAATACAACAGTTCTGTCTCATCATTTTCTTGAAGATTTTCTGATTTTGTTCTCGGGTTTATTAATAATTTCTGAAGTTCAAGCGGGGCCGTTTCTATGAAACCAAAAAATAGGAGATTCACCGGGAACATCGTCTCGTTCTAACATTGTCGGCACATCAAAGTACATACCATGCAACGCCATCTTGCACTGTATGGCAGAATATTGCATGCACCGTCGTGGCAATTGCTGGCGCAAGTCTCGGGCAGCAGAGAGCAAGCGGGATTGCCGCCACCGCATCGCCGTAGCTGTCAGTGGTTGAACGTAACACAGTACGGCCAATACGGCGTCATGGCGCAGTGGAGGCAAGAGACAATATTGAAGCTGATCAACGCGTATCGAGCGAAGAGACTTCTCTGGGATCCCAATGCGCCTGACGGCACCGATCGAAGCAAGCGAATCCAAGCATGGAAAGAAATCGCCGACGAGGTGCGAGATTACAACTAACATAATTAATGATACAAATGACCCTGCGGTGTATTTTTATTTTATTTTATTAATGTACATATATGTGCATGAAAAATTGTTTTGAATTTTTCCGTGTATTTGCCGCCATTGTAGAAATAGAAATAGGATATGACACAATTTAAACAGAAATAAGATTATTAGCGCTGGATATATTTTAGCACTTATTTTCGGAAAATTTGCTTTTTTATACATTTGATTATATCTTACACAAGAGAAATGGAGCGAAATTAATATTATATAATTGCATCTTAACTATGATAATGATTATATTTTTCATTTAATTAATAGTATTATTTATGATAATCTATCTAAAATTGCACATATATTTATTATGTTCTTATAATTTATGTATGAAATAATATGTCGTATGTGCACACTGTGTCAGGAACTCTTTCGGACAGAGTAGAAAAGAAATACATCTTGGGAGTTATATTTGCTTATATATATTCTCCAGATGCATGCGCGGCGAATGCGTTCAACACTTGTGCAAACCGTTGCGCAACACTATGCAACAAGCGCAGGGAAGCCTTTATTACGTCGAGAGCGGAAAGCATTCTTGTTGAATAGAAATGCATTTGCGTAACGGCCTGCGCGAAATTCACAATTTATTTATTCTACGTTATATTTTTTACATAACGCGAGCTCGAATTTATTTATCATTTATCGAAGCGTGTTTCTCGGCAAAAAAACCGCATCTTATCGTGAGAATTTATGTATTGTATCCAGCTCGGATGCGACGTGATGACAGTAGAGAGAAAACTCAAGAGCCTGAAGACTCATTTCATGTCGGTTTACAAAGCCTATGCAAAACGTAAACTGAAGGCTGATATGAATCCTGGCAGCATCGCGATCAAACCTAAGTGGTTTGCTTATGAAGCTCTGACTTTTCTGAATAAACGACAATCGATGCGAATGGCTCGCGAAACATCGAATGTGGAAAAGCAGGTGCGCACTAAATTTTTGCATGTATTATTATGATTTATAATATATATTATATACATAGCCATATGAATTTAGTTAATCGTTTAACATAGTGTGATAACAATAATAATAATAATTAATTGAAAGTAGCAATTACATAATACTTGAAAAAAATTGTCATACTGATTATTACAAGTTCTATTTATCATTAAATATAATTTATTCTATTTATCTTTTAAAGAATATTAGAAAATGTGTTGTCTTCTTTCGCGAGAAATTAAATTAACTAAATTCTTCATTACTCGTAAAATATGATTGTACATGCGTTTAATTTATTCATATCTATCTTTTTTAGAATCCCCTACCTGTTTCTAATTGGAAATCACAGGTACGCTTTAATATTTTTTTTATTTATTACAATGAAATTAATTAACATTTGTGAAAAGATGTACGTAAATATATAACGCGTTGCATAATGTACGAAGTATTTCGAGACTCCTGTCTATCATATGATATGCGTCATGTTGAAAACTTTCTTCACATGACTCGTTTGCAGAACACTTTTGGTCCTGCGACGTCACGATCTTTTTTTTTCCATGATTTCAGGAGATTTCATCATGCCGTGACGAATTTACGGTTTTTGCCGAGCACGTCGCCATTCGGCTGAAAAATATAACGGACGTGCGTGCAAGACTTGTCGCACAACATCAAATAAACAACATCCTGTTCGAGGCCGAAATGGGAAAGTATAGCATGCATCCCTCCTTTAATAATGAGATTATGGAGAACTTGGACGAGCCCTCAACGTCGAATGAGGAGAAAGTGATCATAAATACCATCTAAGTGGTTTAATCGAATCTTCTTTCGTGAGTCTAATCATTATATATTATCTTTAAAATTTTTAATAAATTATTTATATAGACCAAGATCTTGCGCACTGTTGTTCGCGACTTTAAAGCGTGATTGTTACAACAACGACTTCTCGTTATATTTGTTGCGAATAATGGTGAACGGTAAAAAGTATTGATTTTACGTCGAAGGGTCTTTTAAAGAAAATGCATGTTGACATGTTGTTGAATCTGCTCGGCCAGACATGACTCTATTTATGTGTGTCTCCGTTTGCCGGCATATCACATCTTTTCTCGTTACAAAATCGCGAAAGTCGTGTCAAAAGCCAGCTTCTGACAAGCGTAGCCAACATATGTTGGCAAACGCGAAATCCGTGTCAGATATCGGCTGTTTTCACACGTTTTCGTTAATTCTCCCGCAAATATAAATTAAATTAAAAATAACAAATATATTAATATATGATATACATATAAATTAAACTATATAGCTACATTAATTATATATAATTAATTTTTATTTATATATAATATTATATGCAATAATAATTATATATAATAATTATAATAACTTTGAATATTATTATATATAATATTAATTATATATATCTAATAATTAATATATATGTAATAATTTGCATATTATATATAATTATATGTAATTTTAAAATTTTACTTAACTGTATGAAATGAATAAATTGAAATATGTTTATTCAATTTATGAATTATGCCACTCACCTTTTAAATCGACTAATTTATAAAGCATGATGGACGACGTATCCGTTTGCTTCTTCACGCCGCTCGTAACATTGCTCTCCGTATTACCCATTGTTTATGGATGACACTTCACTCTTTTGACGTTTAAATATCTAGAAAAGAGGGAATCTTTTTCGAATGCAACACTGTGCGCGACTGATATCCGCTGAAATTGATAAATGTGTCCGCGCCTAGTTGCCAGGATACTGTACTCAATTATTGATTAAACAAACAATAGCTTTTGATTAGACTTATAGTAAAGTTCAATTTACATATCAATATATTATGTTAAATTTTTATTATTTTTTTATAATTGGATTACAAATTTTTTTCTTTATTGCTCATTTATTTTATCAATTTTTTAAATAAATTTTTATTCCTCATCCTATGATAACAAAGAAATAACCGCGACGGAAACTCATCTCGAAATAGAAAACCATAAATTTGGCGGCGGAAGAAATTAATTGCAGGGCATTAAATAATTTTGGTAGGAAATCCTGTTCTTATCGGTTAAAATAAAATCCTGCGTCTAAATCCAGAATTATGACTTAATTCCGTTGATAACATGACGGATCTTTATAAATAAAATAGTAATAATGAATTTATCAAGCAAATCGCGGAAATGATGAAATTATTGTTTGTGCATTAAATACTCCGCGTATTATATAAAATTTTGTGCTTAAATAATAATAAGAATAAATATGCAATGAAGCAAAAATATGCTTTTCAAATTGAGATGGATTAATCGTGCAATTTGAATAATACTAATTTATTAATCATTTAAATGTTTGATCGCTTATCGCGCTGTGCATTAATAATTTATACAATTGTTGTTCCAACATACGCTGTATTCTTCAATAGAATACGAATTAAGGTTGATAGATTTATAAGTCACGGTAAAGATCGTTTGTCTCGTGTCACACAGATCATCGTAATCGCTCTCGTGTATTAATAAATATTAAAGAATGCAAGGATTGCGAAAGACTGCCGATAGCGTAGATATGCTTAAACATTACATCATTTAAACGTGTGTCATCCATATTATAACTATCATAACTAGTCGGTGATTTTATTAATTGATTTTTAAATTTTTTCTTCAAAGTTATCTCATCCCTATAAATTTTTTTACTCATTTAATGACTTATAACGCGCTTTGCGGCGCGATTGAAAAGCCGCGAACAATTTTCGCGCATACCTTAGCAATGATCGTGCTTTAATTTAGAACTGAATGTTTTTAGACGGCATAGCTGCAATTGGTATTACGCGTTAAGCAGTTATAAATACGCTTATGACTGTAGCCGCATTTACACAAGTTATACTGAGAATTGACTGCACAATACCTTGATCTCGGCTGACGCGAACAGGAAATTAGATTCTATTATTGCGTCGACGGTCTAGGACAGTTTACGAAAATGAATTCCTCTCGAATCCCTCCCAAATGATTTTAACGAGCTCAAATACTGATCTACAAGCATCACAAATTCACTCTTTCATGAATCTTCAGAGATGCTTAAAATTATTTAAAATTATTTAATTAAACAAATTTTTAAAAAATTTGTTAAGTATAGAGTTTTAACAAGAATTTATATTTAATAACAAATTTTTATCATAATTATAATTAACATTTTATAATTCTCTGTTTTTGGCAATTATTTTTAAAAGCATCTCTTATTTTATAAAATCTTGAAAAAAAATTGATACGTACATAGTTCTTTATATGCTGTAATATTTCAAAAGAGCAAAATTAAAACGAAAAGGATCGCTTGTAGATCCGTGAAGGCCCCGGAGGATTCGAACCCTCGATCTCCTGTTTACTAGACAGGCGCTTTAACCAACTAAGCCACGGCGCCTGGATGAGTGCCTCGTCTTAATGAAAGTATATAATATTGATATCAAATATATATACATATATATATGTATACATATATAATTTATGTATTTTTTTACGTAGGTAAATAACTTTTTTATTTATCTAAATTATTTCATACAAAAAATTATACATACATATATATATATATATATAGCAAAATTTACATAAGTAATTTTTTTATTTTTCTTTTATATAAAAATTATATACATATATAATTTTTATATGAAACAATTAAATAAATAAAAAGTTATTTTACTTATGTAAAAAGATTTACGCAATAAATTATTATTGAACAATTTTATAGTAATATATATAGTATTTTCTCTTTTTTATTTATCGCATTAAATGGAATATATATGCTTTAGAAAGCAAGTTATAATAATGCTTTATATAAAAAAAATGTGTGAGAGAGAGAATAGGGGAAAAAAGGGAGAAAAACAGAGAGAGAAAAATATTCTTTCTGTGATGAGTACCTATATTTACTTCAAAAAATTTATGAATACTTAAAAAAGATCCTTTTGTATGCGACCCACATTTCCAGGCGTTAAATTAACTTATTATAACGCTGAAAGAAAAAAGTAGGCGATCTATTTGTGAGATTGAAATATATGGACGCGCGTGAGAATGCTGCAGTTACTTGCTGCTCCGAAACGAGATGTAACATAATCAAAGTGAAATATAGATATGATTAAATAAACGACTGACTGAAAAAATGAGAATTTATTTGTGTTAAAATTCGATAGAGAAATATACATAACATGAGAGAAAAGACTGTTCATTTCTAAGGAATTAAAATTGTTGCAATTTTGCGAAATGTTCATTTCAGTCTTATAAATAATTCAACGAGCCACAATAATCTATATTTTATTTTTTTTTTTTATGTTAAAAAAAAAACAAAACGCGACACTGATAGAATATTTAATAATTCGTATAAGAAAGCATTTTATTGATACAAATTTATCTTGAGATTTTATCTTATTATGTAATTAATGGAAATAAGAAGTCGATATATATTATATGTTGAACAAAGCAAAAGATAATTTTTAATTATATCAAAATTAGTAAGAGTAAGGATACACGATATTGTTAGTGATAATTATTTTTTTTCTTAATAAACATATTTGGTTGATATAACTAGATAATTAATATAATTTAATAAGTGTTAAAACAAACATTATTTATTTTAATTTATAAAATTCAAATAGAGCACAAGGCATTCATTAATGTACATATTGAAGAAAGGAACTCTCAAGAACTGGCTCGTTGGTCTAGGGGTATGATTCTCGCTTAGGGTGCGAGAGGTCCCGGGTTCAAATCCCGGACGAGCCCGGTTTTTTTTTCTTTTACTAGATTAATAATCATTTCTTTACTATGTTAATAATTATTTAAATTTTTACATTATGATAAAAAATGTCAATAAAACCTCTCTTTCTCCCTTCTCTTTCTCTTCATCTCTCTCTTTATACGATATATTATTCGTAATATATATTTTTAGCTATATGCTTTACTTCATGAATGAATATGAGGCATAATGATAGATATTGACATTTACAAAATATCGTAAAAGTGAAAATTTTTTTATATTAAGATTCTACTCATTTATTTAAATGATCGAAAAAATTAAAGACTAGGATACAGATCTCACTAAATTACATCATTACCAATCGCCTCGAGACAATTTCCATGGATTAACATCTTCCTTCTTCCACTCAATGTCGTTCCGAAACAATGAATAATTAAGGTCGAATAGTCAGTCGTTATAAATAACTTTACGCGTATCATGCTTTAATCAGCAACGATATAACAGATTGTCGTACGCGATATTAAATTTTAATTGCGCAGCGCATGCTTTATTCTGCAAGTATATATCATATCGTTTAATAGATTTCTAATGCGATATTCTGCACGAAATCTTATTGCAACTGTATAAATCATCTTCTGAAAAAATATGAGTTCGCGCTTCGCTGAATTCTAACTGTTAGATTAACGCGATTAATTTGCATTAAATTAACGCCTGATCGATTTATTTACATAGTATTTGTTTGCTGGCGAATTCTCGGCGAATTCGTCATCGCGATTAAACTGCTAAACTGCACATTATCCGATTGATTCGGATTATCGTAATTGTTTACAGACGTGACAACCATATAAATTTGATAAGCGCTTTGGTATTTTGCATAAATTGAGCATGGTTTAAGAAACTTTTACATTAAAAAAATTAATCATCATTTTTTAATATTCAGAATCGAGATAAAATGATGTGAATCCCACAAAGCGAGACAAAAATTTATTTTATATTTCATATATAAATAATTATCTATTTTTATCACGATTGCATCTGCCTCATACTTAAAGATACATCAAATGTTAATATTTGTGCTGACGTTTGTAAACAAACACAAGTTTTCCTCGTTCTCTGAAAGTATCTGCAAACGTACATTTATTTTATTCTATTTCTATACGGAAAAAAATTAGCTGTTATAGCTCAATTTTAGCTGGTCCCTAGTCTCTATATTAAACATTAAATTTATCATGCCTAAATTTTAGCTATGATAGCTAATCATTTTTAGCTATAGCATTCTCTGTTAAACTGTAGCTAAAAAATATTAGTTACCGCAGCTAAAATTTGGGCATGATAACTAAAATTCAAAGGTTGTAATATAGGGACAGTTGAAATTTACTTATGGTAGCTAATTTTTTTCCGTGTATTTGAATAAAAGTTGCTTTGCATATGAAATATCACATTATCAAAATTAATTACATGTAATATAATGTATAAAAACTGGATTAGAATCGCTTTCCCCGCAGATAGTTTCGTTTATCTTTCTCGCGGAAACGCGGTCTTTCAGCATCCGGACACCCTCTCTCTCTCTCTCTCTCTCTGTCTCTTTCTCTGTAAATTATGAAATGGAAGTGCGCGAGGAGATCCGGTGAGTAGAAGAAATATAGATTTTAAAACGTGCGTTTATTACAACGTGCTCGCTTCAGTTTGACTCGTGCTTCAGATCCGTCAGCATCTTGGACATATCTTTTTTTTTCCTCAATTGATCCAGAGTGAAATTCTGAGAGCCATCATCGTTGCCCAACACACGTATCTATCAATAGACAAGATTAATTAATTTCTGTGTGCTAAGAACACTTGTCGAGTGAGTAACTATATAATCCTCTATTAATTGCATGACCCTTGAATTTGAAGTTAGGACTGGAAGGAAAATTTTGTGCTATCGATATCTTTTTATAGAAGTGCCCGATGGGCTCGATGGGCTGTTGGCTAGAAATAAGTTCAGATATAGTTTCAAGCAGGGTTGTGTTTCTAGAGGTTTGAAGCAGCTTATCATTGCAGCTTCGCATATCCCATAAATATTATCACGACATCTCTGAAATAGACATTCGTCATTTTTATAATTTTACCATCATCATCATCATCGCGATGAAAAAAATCGAAAGATCTTTCATTGTCATCCCCAGATTTAGCCCGCAAACTTTATAGAATTTATACGCGATCCCCCCATAAATTGCGGCTTCGATGCATTCTGCGGATTCACTTTCCTCCGTCATCCGCGCCTTCGTCATCCGATGACGACGACGGGGAAACCGACGACAGGGAGAGATCCGGGTGGGTGGTGGATCTAAAGAACCGATCGTCTTTCGCACGGCGCTGCTCTGCGCTTCTCGTGGCGGTTCGAACCGAATTGTGATACCGAGACTTAGTTTAGCTTGCGTTTACCTCTCGTCTCCGCGGGTCAGTTAGGCTCGCGCTTTCGAGCCGCCAGCACCGGCTGTGTTCTCTTTCTTTTTCTCTCTTTCTCTCTTTCCTCCCTTCTCCATCCCTCCACCGAATCTTTCTCTCGCGGCCCCCTTTTCGCGAATTTTATCGATTTTTTTTCTCTCTTCCTTCTCTTTCGTCGTGGTGCGATCGTCCCCGGCTGCACGAGGCACATGCAAACCGACGATCGTCGATAGAAGATAGTCCTCAAGTTGGACCAGACTGAGTCTCGTCGTCTCCGAGTAAGTGGTTGTGTGACTGTTTCGAATGTGCTGGTGGAAATAGATTTTTACCGATTTCCGGAATGTGATTATGTTAGAAAGTGAGGAATTCGCCCCGAATTTTGTCGAAACTGTGCAAATAACTGTCAACGAATAATCTCTTGCATAAATTTCGCATATGAGTTCATATTCTGCGAGAACAGAAACTGTCATAATATCATCATAATATTTAATATTTGAAGCTTTAGTATGAAAATTTTATTTATATTGAAGATCCATTGCGACACTGATTAATTTCTCACATCGAACGAGTTGATAAGAAACGAAGCTTTCTGCAAGTATTTTATGTCAATTTAAATGAGATAAATGGTTAAAAAATCAACATTTAATTATGCCTTTCTTTTTTCACTTTCATTCATGATTATTAATTTGATCTCTCTCACAACTAATTAATAGCGAATTAAATTTGAATTAACAGCGACTTGTTTTTATCAAATTGCTATCAGACGTTAATACATTTTATAAATATATATAGCGAAAGCAATGTAAAGGGGAATGCAAATAAATCCTTATCATTCAACTCAACAGTTCATTATACTAAATTTTTTACTCGTATCTTCTCGTTCTATGATGATCTATTATTTATTTATTTAAAAATAAATTTTTGAACAAAATAGTGAGAATAATATGACTTGAAAAATTTTAATTTTAGTATTCAACGACTATAAACCTGGAATTTTAATGGATTCATATGCGCGTCAATGCAAATTTTCAAATTACATAATTTCTTTTAATCGAACGTATTCGCGCTTCATCTATTCAATTTGATGCAAAAATTAATCGTTCCTAGAATCAGTTGATCTTCATGTGATGAGGTCAGCGACGAAAAAAATCCGAGTTATATATATGTATATATGCAATGTTATGCTGGCGAACTTTGACAAATGTTCGCGCAAGTTTGATACTGATGTCGCGACCTACAGTTAGGAATATCATTAAATAGCCACTTAAATAGCGATTTATCTACCGTTATCAAAGATTGTAATCCACAAATTATGCCAATGTACGAATTCAGAGACGTCTCGTGGTCACGATCGCGAGATCGATAAACAGAAATTAAATCAATTCTTCTTTATCTTTCTATTTACACTCTCTTCTATTGCTTCTTCAAACACTTTGCAAGTGCAAAGAGATTGAAAGGATTTTTTTTTTCGCACAATAGATTTTTTTCATAACACTTTACTTGATACTCACGTGTCTGTTCGAGAGGGAACTTATCAAGTCGCATTCTTAGCATAATACGAGAGTCACCGGATGGATCCAACACTTCGCTTTAGCACCGAGCAATTCATATCGCGACGGGTTTGTAATTCTATGCAACAGATATCGCGCGATTAAGATATGAGAGAGCATTTAATTCATGCGTGTGTACGATAAATGCGTAAAAAGAAACAACACGCCGGTTTCAAAAAATCTCTTCTCGCCGAACAGAGCATCGATAATATGAGAGATGTTTATGTGCATTAAATATCTTGCACGCGCTCATGTTAAATTTCTTCAATTCAATATAATACGAGTCACAACCTTGCCGATTAACTCGTGTATGGTAATTTTGCGACTTTCATCGGCATAGCGTTGACTTCTTCGTACGTAACCGACAGATAAGTTATAACCAGCTTGCGAAGCTGTATGTCAAAGCGGCGACAAGGTTGCGACCGGAACGACGACTATCGCGGGAAAATGTCAGCATTCAATTTTTAATGTAATTCGTACTTGCTCTTACATCGAAAGTTTGAGATTTAATTTTCACGACAGATTTATCGACAAATTCTTTTCATCGAGATTCTTGGCAAAATTCTCCTGAAAATTGACAAACCGTTTTGTTTGTTTTTTTTTATTTTTTATTTTTATTAAATATAGGTTCCTTCCCCAAAACTTTCGATTATATTCGCTTTGAACAACACGTATTGATTAGTTTTAACCGAAGTTTTATAAAATCAAATCTTTTTAATTTAATCTCTCACATTCTTTCTTATCTCTGATACTTGATGGAATGTCACCTTGGCGAAATGGAGCGTATCACAAGATATTTTAAATATTACTTGGCGCCTACTAATGTAAATGGATTTATCTTTTATCTGTGATAATATGAAAATTTTTATAATTTTTCACAAACTAATTTTCCATATGTGTTACATTTGTTTTTGTTATTTTTGGACATGTATAGTCTTAAAGTATACAATCTTATTCATTCAAACACTCGAATTGATAAATTTAATAATTAATTATATTTTACACTTTTCTCTCCCTCTTTTAGAAAGAACTTTATTTTATATCTAATTAATGTACTTTGAAAAAAATTGTGAATGAAATATAATCTTGCTAATCTCTTTGTTTTACATAAAATAATATTACGCCGTTTTTATAAAAAAATGCATTAATAATATAAGCATATTTTTCATGTTTTTCTTTAAAAGAGATTTTGAAGTAATAATTTTCTATAAAAATGACTAATTCAATCGTAATTCGTAAACTGTCTTACAGTATTGTCGGCGCATCTATCTTTGCAGTTGAAATCGGTAATGAAATTAGCCCATAAATTTCATTGCCGATTAAAACTCCTACGGTGCAGTTTCATCATCAAAACAAAACGGCGGCTAAGAAAATCAGAGCCCAATTCGACCACTCTGCTCTAATTCGAGCGATCGTATTAATAACTACGTCGACGCGACAGAAAGTAAACACCTTTTGATAAACGGACAGTGGAGTTGAATAAATCCCGCGTTAATGAAAAGATTGTTATCAACGGAAGATATGGGTCATTCATTTGTTCTTTCGAGAGGTAAAACACTAATAAAATTATCGCGATGCTTATCGAGGACGTCGTGGCAATCTGACAATTCGGACGAGTGTGACATCTCCGATTAATCGCGATCTAACAACAAAATTTCTCGAGCACCACGGACATTCGAAGTTCCTTAAAAATTAATTATATAATTAATTAATGTATAAATTAATTAATTATATATAAAAGCGAAATAAGCTTTGGAAAATGATTTCTTGCATGAAAGTAAATTGCAAAGCTGAATGAGAGAAAAATTTTTTTAGCTTTTTTTATGTATATTTATAACTTACGCGACAATTTATATGTGATTATGAAAATAATTCGAGTCAAATAAATATAAAAGAAAATAATTCTAAATTTATTTTATATTGCATATGTAGACGTAGTATTTATAAATATTTTTAGCTTTGACAGATTAATATATACAGTTTTATTTTACGTATGTTGATAAAATATTGATTAAAAAAATCTTTATATTCTGGAGCAAAATATGTGACACATACGTTAGTTTCATAACCACGCGTATGCGTCAGTACTACGACGTAACCCTTGACAAGACATCGCATGTATAATTCACTTCTCGAGATTAGTTATCGCGATATCGACAGCAAAATGCGGTACCAGGCGTGTTTGCAATTTGCCGATAATCATCAGCTGGCACGCATAAGGCGTTAACGAATATCCCATGACGCTAATTGAACGATCATTGTGTTGGGAACGATGATGAATACATGCGCTAATAAAGTTTCAGTATCACGGTAATTATTATAATTAATTGAAGCATAAGTACACAAAATCTGCTAATTATTTCAAAGTTTTTGTATGCAGAAAGAGAGAGATACGTGAGTTTTATTTATATATTTGTTCTTATCTTTGTATTATCTTTGTTCATACGATCGAGTGATAGAGATCGTCTTACAATGAAACCGAAGACGGAATATAGAGATGCGGATTGTCATCGCTATATTTACTTGTGGTATATGCAACGTCTGCACTAATTGTCAATCGCGGTTTACCGCGCTTTATTACTGCTAGACTCATCCGCTAAAGTAAAATAACGCAAATTGACAAATTACGAATAACGACTAAAAATCTGCCGTAAAAAAACGCTGTCGTAAAAATTTCGTTGAAGAAAATTCTTATATAGATTTTATTTTATTTTATTTTACATTTTTTTATTAAGAAAAAATGTCGTCTTGTAAGAAAATGAGATTAATAATTTTGATTTTCTCGATATTAATAATATATGTGTGGATTACTTAAGAATTCATTCTTATAGGATCGTAAAGCACACAAATTTTCACCGACATTATAAAATCGATTTATTTCATTGCAGGATATTAACCGAACGCGGTTATTACCGATTTATCGTTATCATAGACACCATTGAACGACTATTAGTGGAAACATGGCTATTAATCGCATCCAATAAATCAGTTTACGATGTTAGAGAGGCATTGATAAACGTCTGCAAAATGGGATGCATGTCAGACACGTGATTTGTGTGAATATGCTCTTGACATTAAATTGCGGTTTCTAAATAGTTCGAGCAAAATCCCCGTGTGTTCAGAAAACGCTAAAATTTAATACTTTGATACAATTTTAATACAATTTTATATTATTGAAGCTAAATGCTAAAAATAATAAAATAAAATAAATAATAAAGTGTTAAACTTTCCAGATAAGAAGTGCATCAACATTTTCTGCAATAATAAATTAACGAAATAAGTATCAGTAGGTCAAGTTTTATTGGAAAAATAAATCAAATTCGTTTAGAGAGTGAATTTCTCAAAATGCGTAAATGCTAATATACTATTTCCGAATGCAAACAACTTATAATACCGTGGAATTTGGGGCAACAGCGCGCATCCATCCGGTGCTCTCTTGCTTATGACGTGCACGTTATTTTTAGTGTTAACAATTTGTGGAGTCGCAAAAATAACCACACGCGTCATACAATAAACACATTTTTTTAAACAGTAAGAAGATTCACCCAAAGAGAAAGAAGCTAAAGAAAAAGAAGAAGCGAATGTATTTAAAAAATCCAGAATCAGGATCTTTATACTGAATCTCTGAACTGTGCGAAAAACAGTCTTAATTAATTTGACAGATATTAACGTAACATCACTTTTATCAATATGTTCCGCATAAAGTATAATACGTAAAAAATGAAAAG